ATATAAATCCAGTATAACCCTATGTGTATGACCTGGTAGGCTCCGTTTAACGTGGTCGTAACAATAAAATCATATTTTACCATACACGTTGATAGTGGTCTCTAGTAAGACATATCAATTGTGCCTACAATATCATCGAACTAATATCCCTTTGTCTCGCAATATATACCACTCGAACGTAAGGCATGGTGTCAATCAACCTTAACCAATTCGACCGTTTTCTCATCCGTTAATCATCTGTTAATATAGATGTCCGACATCTATGGATTGGCCAAACACTTTACATTATTATTAACCACTGAGTGGTCGGCGATATCTATCTCGTAATCCGGAGAGACAAATTCCATCTTGTTATGCTATAACCACCGTGTTAAGGTGATGTTTAACAATGTTAAGACACGAAACAAATTACGGGGAATACCAATAGCTATCTTAGGTCAAAGGACAAAACTGAGATATTATAATGATGTCGGTTTTGATTCATGACCATGAACCGACCACCATGTGGGTTAACCAATCACACACTCCAAACGTGTACCAGTAACTGTAGCACATATCCAATACGTCATGCATACACGTCACACTAGTCTTCATTTATTATCGTTCTCACGATAATAACTGACTAGGGCATCTAGTATTATTCCAAATAATATAGGGATAATGTTTGTTATTAATGAATGTGCAAATATAATAATAAACGAATAATCGTATTATTCCATAAATATTTATTACAATTGTACATCTGTTCATCTACATATGAGTATAAACACAACATGAAGAAACTTGGAGAACATGTCACTCTTTCGGCGAAGTGGGTAAACCCATAAAAATTGTGTAAAATAATCAAGAAAGACAATGTAATAACGCAAATCACTTATGCTTGGAATGGGGGAAGTCCAAATGTCGGAATGAATTCTTTCAAAAGGAGCCAAAACAATACTTTGAGATCGATAACGAAAGTCTATCACTTTTGCCAAGATGGCGTGCTTCACAAGTCGAAGACATGCATGGCTTGTTACATTTAACAAAGCCAGAACAAATCAAATTTCTGAAAACCAAGTTGCCCGGATGCTCAAACCGGCGATGCCAAATTATGGAAGACATGGAGAGAAATGCGACATGGTCTTGGGACGTGGTGGTGTTGGTAAGTGGATATAGAGGTCTGGTGCTATCATAGCAGAGAAAAGTTCGTTGTGTTGGACGATCCTTAGTAAAAAAATTCAAAAGGGTCAAATTCAATAGAACAGTTGTTATCGGTAGTAAATTGATGATCGAAGACCAAGTTTTTGATAATAGATGGGGTAACAAGAACATTTTGCAAAGAAAGAAGTCTAGATGAAGGAGGGATAGTGGTATGACCGAATTTGTGTACCGGTAGGGAAGAACCATCACCGATGGTGACGTAGGGTATAATTCTCGAATTAAAAATAGTGTGGAGGTTACCTGGATGGTTGATGAGATGAGCCGCCCGAATCCATGTACCAGCATTTTAGGTAGGGTTTTGTAGTGTCATAGTGTTGAATTCATGAGTAAGGCAATCGTGGGCTCAGTGGTGCCGACAATAGGGGTTGAGGCGATCCATTGCGGTATGATGCACGTGCATGATGTTGCTGTTGTGGTGCTGGACCAAGAATACCAAGATTGTATCCCGAAAAAGCCCACGGATTCGGCCAGAACGGTGGCCATTGAGGTTTGTTCCATGATGAAGAGTGGTGTTGGTTGTTGTTGAAGAATCGACGACTACGTGAGGAATGACCGTGGCGACCCCCGAGCGACCATCATGGTGAAAGGGTCATGATGGAGCATACCATGGTTGAGTGGTTTGCGGAGGCTGAGACAGTCGGTGCCGATGAGTGGACCATGTAAGTGGGCTGATGTCGAGTAGTTTTTCTGAGTCGTTGTTCCTCGAGAATGAGCATGGAATGAACATCTTTGAAAGATGGGAATGGCGACTTATGCTTGACGTCATTGACAATGTTGTCAAAATTTTCATTCAAGACATTGAGCATGCGCATGAAAAGGGTTCGATCAGAGACTTCGTCATCAATGTTGGATAAGAGATCTGAAATCTTCTTCAAATGTCGACAGTACTCATGGATGGCGAGATCACCGATAATTAGATTGTGGAGCTCGTTTTCAAGTTGGATGGCTCGTGCCTCCATGTTGTCGCAGAATTGGTTCTCTAGTCTTGTTCAAAAGTTATGCGCGATACTTTTCTTCTTGAGTACGATAGTAACCAGGGATTTAGAAATCGTGTCGCAGATCCACAACTTCACTAGTCCCTCAATCCGAGTCCAATATATGTCAGTTGCTCCGGTCAATTGGGTTATGCCATCCAGATGGCCCATTACACCGAAGTTCAAGCAATGTGATTTGAAGAGCTCTCTCCATGCATCATAGCTATATTCATCCATGTCAAGGTTGATTGGAATGTGAGATTGGATATTACTCACTCCAAAGGGTTTTTCAGACTGGGGTGCATTGGTGGCCAGAGTAAAGAAGAATAGAGAAGACGGCGAGGAGCATAATAGATCAGATGTGGGAGAAGAATCAGGCGACGGTGGTGGAGAGGTTTAGAAAAAGAGAAGCTCTGATACCATAAAACTTGGTAAATTCTCCTTAGGGTTTCCTGTGACAGCTCGGGGTACCATAGGAGAGTGGGGAGTGATCGTCGGTGCGAGAGGAGAACAAGGGACGGCTCCTGACAAGCTTCTGGATAGAGGTATAGGGATGAATCGAACGTACTGAAACGAGAGAGATCCGAGGGCTGTGTAGGTATGGGACTACAAAGTCAAAGATAACTTAAAGGAATTGATTGAACTGCTCATAGCAACAAGATGATCTACATTTTCGCTTGCCCATCTCGAGAGAACTCCAAAGTTAAGCGTGCTCACTTTAGAGTAGTATTAGGATAGGTGACCTCCTAGGAAGTACTTTTTGGGATGTGTGCGAGTGATGACAAAACACGCTAAAAGGTCTCGTGTTGGTGTGTGAGGACAACTTTGACATTCCGTAGCGGCATCAGGCCGTTACAAATGGTATCAGAGTCGGTACTCTCCCAGTACAATGTGGTTCGAGGATGAATCAGGCGGAAATTGGTGGGCCTGTAACAGCCCAGGATACCGTAGGAGGGCGGGGAGTGATCGCCGGTGCGAGAGGCACGGACAAGGGGCGACTCCTGTCGAGCTTCTGGGTATGGGGTACAGGGATGAATCGAACGCACTCGGACGAGAGAGATCTGATGACTGTGTAGGTATGGGACTACACAGTCAAAGATAACTTAAAGGAATTGATTGAGTTACTCATAGCAACAAGATGCATCTACTTTTTCGGTTGCCCATCTCGAGAGAACTCCAAAGTTAAGTGTGCTCGTTTTGGAGTAGTATTAGGATGAGTGATCTCCTGGGAAGTACTTTCCGACATGTGTACGAGTGAGGACAAAACACGCTAAAAGGTCTCGTACTGGTGTGTGAGGACATCTTTGACATTCTGTAACGACCTCAAATCGTTACATTTCCATTATCATTGATCTTGTATACACAATGTTGAAGAAGAGATATGCTTGGACGTTCTCGTATGCTCGGAGAAGAGAACATTGAAACATGCCGGTTCGAACAAAGAGAAGCTATGAGGACAAAATAAGGCACGAGGAGGACAGTTCGGGTGAATGTGATGAAGTTCGGATGAACCGACACACAAACGCATGACCGAGAGCTTTCACACAAAGAATCAAGAGCTGGTGACTTACTTATGCAGATTGTTGCATCAAGGAACGTATAAAGGAAAACTAACCATAGGATACTCAATGACTTATGGACAGATTGCTCTTGCCATATCGAAGAAACCACACTCAAGATCTGGCACAGATTGAGCAATATATATATATATCACATGATATAGCCATTTTCTTCAATGATTGATTCTTACCTTTTGCATATATGTACGTTAGCTACAGGTTGACTTCAACATGTATAAGTCAACACAATCTAATGTACATTATCAATAATGGGAAACAAGTGAATTCTTTTGTATATTCACTCCCATTTTTCTTGTTGTCGTGTTCTTTTCAGTTATACAATCCGAGTTTCACCATCTCGGTTTCTTCTCCATTTGATCATTCAATCACTTTTTTCCTATAAAATCTTTATGGTATCAAAACATAAGGTCTAGAAGATCCCTCTATTACAATTTCGTTTTTATTTCCGATAAAAAACACTCCAATGAAGTTTCACATGCCAAAGAGAGATGCAAAAATTTTGCAATCATTCATATATGTCCGAACTCTGAATTTCATCAGCAATGTCTCTAATGAAATGACATTGGAAGAGATGAAAAGTGAGAGCAAGATCTTGTGGAACAAACTTGAATATATATATGGTAATATACACATAATTGCATAATATATGCTATCAACGCATAATATCTTCTGTCATAGCAAAGAAGAATACGAGAGCTAGTTGGACCAAAAAGGTACATTCATTCATTTATATTCTCATCTAGTTTATTTACACAATATCATACAAAATATATAGCCTAAAATTTTGTGTAGTTACAAAGAAAAAAAAATAAAATCTAAACGGCTCTATAATTTACACCAAAGGAAAAAAGATAGTCCACATATGCAAGCAGCCATATAAAAATGTCTCTATTTGTTAGAACACAAAAAAAATTATAAAAATGTTTTTTTTCTTGTTAAAATAAAAATTATAAAAATGTTAAATTGGAAACTATCTGGAATTGTACGGAGGGTTTTACAAACTGTTTATAGGCAATGTTGATATTGAATGTTAATACTTTGCGTCTGCAATTTCCAATCTTCCTCGTCATTTTTTTAATCTTTGAATCCTCTTTCATATACAAAGCAAAGAGAAAATATTCTTTAAATTAGCCCCAAGTAACAATTGCCATGAAAACACCTTTACGATTGCATGAGATTATATATAAACACCTACAAGCATGTAATGGAACTCTCATCATAAGAAAATCATAAGATTAATATAAAAAAAACGTCTACAAGCATGTTACATAAACATGTTTTCATGATCTACATCTTCTTGCTGCTGCTTTTGTTCTTCATCTTCTGTCCTTCACTAATTACAGCTCAAGAAGTTGGTAGGTTTCTTTTCCTTAAACCATCATTCTGAGTCCATATAAATTAATTTAAGGGTTTTCTAATTAATTATTCTGCTTAAAGGGTTATTAATTGAGAAGTACGGAGAGTACGAGTCCGGTTTATACCGGTTTAATTTGTTTTAGTTCGGTTTAGTTCTTCAAAGACTTGTATAAAAACACATGTTTCCCATGAAAATTTGTTTGAATCCGTTTGAGTTCTCTCATATTAATATAGACTTAGAGGATTTGATATTAAATTCCCTTAGTCATCATTTGCATAATCATCATAACATCATTTTAATAAAATGATTTAATGTATGATCTAAGCAGATGATGAGAGAGAATTCAATTACATAAAAGGGAATCAAAAAGGACCAGAGCACTAGGGAGATCTAAGAAAAGATTGGTGGTTGTGTAAGAACGGGACAATGCAATCTCCGATCGATCTCTCCAGTCGTACGGCTAAGATTGTTCGGAAGTTCCAGCAACTTCGGAGGAATTACTTTCCTTGCAACGCAAGTCTTGAGAACAGAGGACATGACATTTTGGTAAGAGGTTGTCAAGTTGTTATCCTGATTGAATGTTTTTTTATTCCAAATAAATACACGAATTTATTCAATTCTTACCGATAAATATATGATTTTTTTATCTCTCAAAAAATATATCAATTTGTACATTTCTCTCAATTTCTATTGAATTCTAACAACGTTAACTGAATTCTAACAAGGTCCATGGGGACTGTTAGGCGCGGGTGGTGGCCAGTTCGACACCGTTTGTAAGGGTAGGTAGTCACAGGGGTTCCCCACGTTAACAAAAAATAAAATAAAGTTTTCTAGTGAACGGTACATGATGTTACTACCGAATTTTACGCATCAGTGCCACGTGACAATTTTTTCCGCATCAAATAAAGTACCAATAAAAATAAATAATAAACCCATTTCGTGGTTGTCGTAGTTGGGATGTCACTTTTCCGCTTGTTCACGGGATACCTAGATCGATTGCATAATTAATTACGTGATTAAAGATTGATTATGAACCCAAAAAATTAGTTGGATTGAAGGTCGAGTAAAATTTTGGTTAAAAAATTAAATTTAAAAAAATTGAAAAATAAATAATAAATAACAATAAATTTTATTATTTTTTACATTTGGTTCGGTATAAGATGTTCAGAAAAAACTGTGAAGCTCGATAAAATTTGAATCAATCCATATTAAATCAGACTTGATTTGTAAATTGGGATTGGATATAAATCTACCGTAAAATAACAATAAATTTTAAATAAAACCACATTTAAATAAACAATTTTTTTCATTTATTATCAAATAAAATAAACTGAATCAAGGAGATTTGATTATTAGCCGAATCTAAATGCAAATTAAGTTCAATCGGTTCTCGATCGGTTAAGTCGAATTAAATTAATTCCGTTTAGTTCTAATTAAGTGTTTTCGTTCCAATAAATGGAGTCTCGTTTCCGATTATTAAATTTTGAAAATTTTCTTCGAAAATACAACCAAATGATCGGTTTCCATTTCAACTTTATTTCTATATATTTTCTATTTTATGAAATTTATTTCGATTTTGGTTTGTTACCTAACCGAATAATCCTCTTCAAAAACAGAATTATTATAACTAAAAAAATGAAAAAAATGTTTTTTTAAATAAACTTTTAATAAAAAACATAATTCAACAAACCGAACCACGAACCGAATAAAACCTAATATTAAAATCGACTGCATATATTTTTTTCTAAACTCAAAAACCGTGGCTTACATAAACGGACTAAAGTCGTAAATATCAATTTCTAATCAAAATATTGAAATAATTATTTAAATCGAATGGATAATCCAGGTATATTGGGACAGATACAAGGCGGAAAAAGTCAAGATCAACGGAACAGATTACTATCTGCAGAAAATTCATTGGCATTCCCCTTCAGAGCATACAATCAAAGGAAAAAGGTAACCCTAGTTTGTTTGTTTTTTATAATCTGAACGTTCGATCTAACTAAATTTCCAAGAGAATTGGGGAAGTTGAGGTGAATACCATTCCCCAAATGGAAACTCAAACATGAATTAGAAAATAAATTTGTCTTAACCCTTACCGATTGAACCACCCAGCCTTGGATTAATCCTAATTTTGAAAATCATTATATATATATATATATAAGGATTCATATATTTTTTTATTTCTCTTTTGTCAATAGATATAGCATGGAGCTTCATTTGGTTCACGTAAGCAAAAACTACAAGATTGCAGTTCTTGGAATTCTCTATAAGATTGGTTCTCCCGATTCCTTCCTCTCCAAAGTAAACTTTTTCTTAATTCATTTTTTTTATAGAAATCCATTACACAAATTCGCTAATCCTTTTAAATTTCCAAATAAATTCCCATATGAGCATTCACACAAATACTTATGAGACTATATCTTATCGATAATACTCATTTAGCTATATGTATATATTGTGGGGAGCGACGCTTGTTGATGACGACAATACTCTGGCAATTCGAACGATTCCAGATAAGTACCTGAAATAAAAGATTATTTTGTCGAGGCCTGTGAAACACAGTTTTCTTGAGTTCGATTTCTGTGCCACCTCTAAAGTTTCGAGGCTATTGGAGTACAGTGAACTCATAGGATACAATGACCACGTATTCAGAAGAAGCTTTCCGAATACCAAGCAGACTCTGGGAGACATATGAACAAATATGTGAATGCTCTTTTTTTCTCTATAATGATTGTTTTTTTCTATGTTGAATGAACTAACTGAAGACCCCTATTTATAATAGAGAGAAGAATCTCAAAATAAAATCAATTTGATTTTCAAATTCAAATTAGATTTTATTTTGATATTATCTCGATCATATTTGATAGATTTTCTACAGATTTGAACCCGATTTGAATTTCAAAATCAATCAAGAATATCTCTCAATATTCTGCAGATTTTTATTAAAGTTTCTAGAACTTTCCACGGACCGTACTTCTCATAGACTAGACCCGTTTTGATTCTATCAAATAAACCCAAATCCAACAATCCGCCACAAGAATCAAAATAGGGCCTTAAGTTAGGTGAATCTAAATGCATCTCATGTAACTAACACATTACATGCAAATGATGTGCAATGCAAAATTCGCTCATTGAGAGTGTACTGTATCTAGAAAGGAAGTTTTACCTTTGAACCTTCCGTGTGAAATACTATCGGATATACTTGCTAAACAGTGAATGCGATGTCTTGAACTGTTCAGCTTTTGTATACACCAAGACAACAATACTCACGCAACACCCTCTCTATCTCTCTCTTTAGTCCATTTGTTGCGCCCATTATGGCCCTGGTAGATTTCATCAAGTACTCTAGAGAACTAGTACTTTTGTCATTCTCATAGAAGCGACCCACTTCATATTTGATATAAGAGATTTCTCTTTGAGAGTATCCCAATATACTCCACTCTTGTAGGAGATAAGAGAATCTTTAAGAGTATAAACTCAATCTTACCAATTTGTATCACTCTTATCATAGGAATGTGAAGAGACATCAGTCTCGAGTGATCCCATCGACCCTCCCCCCTCACAATTCGGTTGTCCTATTGAACCTAACACTGGTGGTTTGTCCAGATAGGTTGAGTTGCCATCATGGTGGTTTGTCATTCTATAGGCTTTAATCTCATTCCCCTCGATGATATTTCTACCTGATATCTGTTAAGGCCTTTGGTTAGAGGATCAGCCAAATTATCTTTTGATCTCACAAAATCAATAGATATGACTCCATCTATCAGTAATTTTCTAACGAAATTATGTCGTCTGCGGATGTGTCGCGACTTTCCCTTATAAACATGGCTCCTTCCTATTGCAAACTGACTATCGCAATGTATGCAAATTCAAGACACTAGTTTGGGCCATATAGGAATGTTCTCAAGAAAGTTTCGAAGCCACTCACCTTCTTCACCAACAAGGTTCTAAAGCTTTGAATTCAGATTCCATAGTGGATCTTGCAATACACGTTTACTTAGAAGATTTCCACGAAATAGCACCTCCACCAACAACGAATAAATATCCACTTGTGGATTTATTCTCATTCGAATCTGAGAACTAGTTCGCATCAGAATATCCTTAATAATACTGCTGGATATCCTGTGTAGTGCAGTCCATAATTCTCACTGTACCTTAGATATCTAAAGATTCTAATTATGGCATTCCAATGATCACAACTTAGATTGCTCGTATATCTACTAAGCCTATTCACGATATTAGCAATATCCAGCCTTGTGCTATTCATAAGATGCATTAAGCTTCCTATGATTTTGGAATATTCTAATTGTCGAACTCCTTCACCGTGATGTTTTTTCAAATGACAATTAACATCAATTGGAGTTTTGGCCTCAGAATTTCTATCTTTGTCAAATCTCTCTAAGATTTGTTTTATATAGTGATTTTGGGATAATACATAACCGTCTTGTGTCTTGATAATTCTCATACCAAGTATTATATCTGCTATTCATGCCAAAATTATTTGATATCATGGTTTTCGTAGCTTTAATCACCTTATCACTACTACCAGTGATGATCATATCATCCATGTAAAGACAGATAATCACAAATTATGTCTCGTTACCTTTGACATATATGCATTTGTCAACCTCGTTGACTCGAAATATATTTGACAACATTACGCTATCAAACTTTGCATGCCATTGTCTAGGACTTTGTTTAAGTCCATATAAGGATTTCACAAGTTTGCACACTTTTTTCTTCCGTCTGTGCACTCTACACCCTTCAGGTTGAAGCATGTATAGTTCTTCTTCCAGTCAACCATTTAGAAATACAGTCTTTACATCCATCTGATGTAATTCTAGATTATGTAAAGCTGCTAGGGCTATAATAAGCCTTATGGAAATTTCCGAGCGACTGGAGAGTAAATATTGAAGTAATCGACACCCTCGGTTTACTTATAGCCTTTGACTACAAGTCTTTCCTTGTATTTTTCAATAGAACCATCCAGTTTCATCTTTCTTTTGAAGACCCACTTATAACCCAATGGTTTGCATCCTTGTGGAAGATCCACTAGTTCCCAAGTGTGATTTTTTCGAATTGATTCGATCTCACTCTTCACTGCTTCCTTCCAATAAGGAGTTTCAGAAGATGACATAGCCTCTTGATATGTCTGTGGTTCTTTATCCAACATAAATGTTAGATAATCAAAACCAAAAGAAGTTGGTTTCTTTGCCCTTTTACTTCTTCTAGGCTCTTCATCCTTTTCTTCTAATTGCTTAGAAGATTCATGAATTCTTTGAGATTGCATACCACTTGGATCTAATTCTATCCGAGTCTTGTAGGGATTCAAAGAACGAAGCGTCTCTTGATTCAACAACTGTATTCGCATGTATTTTAGAATTATCTGATTTATACACCAAGAATCGGTAAGCACTTGAATTGTGTGCATAACCAATAAACACACAGTCTATTGTTTTTGCTCCTAACCTAGTTCATTTAGGAATAGGGATAGGAACCTTAGCCAGACAACCTCATACCCTCAAGTATTTGTAACTAGGTGATTTGCCTTTCCACAACTCATAGGGTGTTTTGTCGAGCTTTTTATGAGGCACTCTGTTTAATACAAAGTTAGCAGAAATTACTTCTTCCTCCCCCCAAATTCACAGTCTATTGTTTTTGCTCCTAACCTAGTTCATTTAGGAATAGGGATAGGAACCTTAGCCAGACAACCTCATACCCTCAAGTATTTGTAACTAGGTGATTTGCCTTTCCACAACTCATAGGGTGTTTTGTCGAGCTTTTTATGAGGCACTCTGTTTAATACAAAGTTAGCAGAAATTACTTCTTCCTCCCCCCAAATTCTGAGGAGATCCAGAAATTATTAACATAGCATTCATCATTTTTTCAGCGTTCTATTTTTGCGTTCAGCAATGTCATTCTGTTCTGGCATATAAGGAGCTGTAGTTTGATGGATGATGCCATGATCTGCGCACGATTATCCAAAAGGCGACTCATATTCACCTCCTCTATCGCTTCTCAAAGCTTTGATTTTCTTTCCAAGTTTATTTTCAACTTCATTTTTATAGAGATTAAACATCTCTATTGTCCATCTTTACCTCTCTTTAAGTAGAGATAACAATATCGAGTATAATCATCAATAAAAGTAATGAAGTACTTCTTTGCACATCTGGTTTGCACGTATTTCAAATCGCATACATCTGTATGTATTAATTCCAAAAGTCTAGTATTTCGTTCACTATTTTTAAATGAAGACTTAGCAAATTTTGCTTCAACGCAGACTTCACATTTGTGTTCTTTGTCCAATTTAAATTTTGGCAGTAGATTAAAAGACATTAATATCATTTGCGGTTATATTGTTTGCCGCATTGGTGTTACAAATGGTCATTACATTCATCTTGAATATACCATTTGCTAGATAACCTCTACCAAGGTTCACACTATCTTTTGACACTACAACTCTCTCAGATTCAAAAACTAGCTTAAAACTTTTCTTTGTCATCACAAATCCATAGAGCAGGTTCTTGCGAATGTCTGGTACATGAAGAATCTCAGTGAGTGTCACCTTCTTTCTAAATGTCATCTTAAGAATGATTGAACCCTTGCATTCTACTTTAGATGCAGAAGAGTTTCTCATATAGCAGCTTTCTCCGGTGATAGTGTCATAGGTGGTGAACATCCATCTGTTAGCACAAATGTGGTGGGTTGCTCTAGTGTCAATCCACCGTTCTCTCGGATTATCTCCAACCATATTCACTTCTGACACAACTACTACGAAGTCAGACTCCTCATCTTCAACTTCAGCTACATGAGCTTGGGTCTTATTCTCAATTTTTTTCTGGGCACCTTCCTTGTGATGGTAGCACTCCTTCGCCAGATGTCCAGCCTTGCCATAGACGTATCAATTCCCCTTAAATTTCTTGGAGTTGACATTCTTATCGATCTTCCGCTTTTTACTCCTTTTGGTCATAGTCGTCTCAACGACGTTTGCCTTGGATCCAAACTACCCATTCATTTTAAGAATAGGTTGAGACTCTTGCTGAATTCTCACATGACGATGCAAATCCTTCAAAGACATGTCCTTAGGTTTTTGCCTTAGGTCATTCTTGAAACTCGTCCAGGATGGAAGCAATTTTTCAATCAGAGTTGCCACTTAGAATTGTTCATTCACCATGATGCCTTCTCCCGCCAAGTTGTGGAAGATGATTTCCAATTCATCTACTTGTTCCACAATACTCATTATATCTACCATACGGTAGTTTAGGAGCTTGGCTACCACCATTCGCCCTTGGCTAGCCTCTTCGACCCGATACTTATGATCAATCGCTTCCCAGAGTTGTTTGGCTGTAACATATTTGGAGAAAACACCATACAGTGAATCATCCAAACCGTTCAGCACAAAATTCCAACACGTGAAACTGTTATGTTTCGATTGTTGGCAACTAGCTAGAGATTGGCATTGCCCTCCTCTGGGATTGGTTTCTCTTCAGTGAGGTACCGTGACAATTTAGGTTGTGTTAAGAAAAACAACATCTTTTGTTGCCAGCGTTTGAAATTTTGACCCTTAAATTGTTCAGATCTCTTAACCGAGCCAATTGGCACAATAGGAATTGCCTGATTTTCAGAGTTTGCAACAATCGAAGGCATTCCTAGTGGGAAAACAACGTTCGCAACGTTTGACACTTGATTATTCATGTTTGTGCCAACAACATCATGATTAACGGAGTTCGTAACACGGCAGGAATCTCATTCCCTGTAGTAGTATTTGAATCCATGGGATTTCTTGGATTATCAATGATATGTGGAATAAATCCAATCATTATTAGTTTTCACAAATCTTATAAACTAAACCGAGTTTCACTTAACTTATAAATTGGTTTAGCTCGCTTCCAGTGATAGCTGGAGGGTTCACCCCGATTCCCACGTCCTTACTATAAAGAAGGGTATAAAGGGTTTCTTCTTCAAACTCTGCTCGCTAAGACAAAGCTTGCTTCTCCAATTTACAAGAAAAGTTACGTCCGGTTTGTTTAACTAAACTTTTTTTCTCTCCAAAAAAAATATTCTAATTTTTTTCCACAAAACATTTTTGGCTAAATGATATTGGATTTTAACTCAATTGGGCCAAATGTCCTTTATTTTTAATTGGACCAGAAAACATTCAATCTGGTCTTACTCTTTTGGACTTTTCAATTAACCTCTTTAATTTTAATTTAGGCTAAACTCTTTGAATTTAATTGGGCTAATATTCAATATTAAATTTGAGCATTAAATTCAATTGTGCTTAGACTCACTAATAGTTGGACAAGAAAACAACTATTTGGGTTTTTTTTCCAACACTTTTTTATTTTTTAACCTAGTTGTTTTTAGATCCAAATTCGTGTAAGGTTTTATACTGAAACTGAAAGAGATTTAAGCACTTATCCGAGAAATTTGTCTCGTGTTAACTATGAGTTGAACTTAAGATTGTTGGGAGCGACGGTTGTTGACGACGATAATACTCTGGCACTTTGAATGATTCCAGATAAGTACGTGAAATAAAAGATTATTTTGTTGAGGTCTGTGAAACACAGTTTCCTTAAGTTCGATTTTCGTACCACTTCTAAAGATTCGAGGCTATTGGAGCACGATAAACTCCCATGATACAACGACCGCGTATTCGGAAGAAGCTTTCCTAATAGCAAGCGAACTCTAAGAGAGATATGAGCAAATATGTGAATACACTTTTTTTTTTTTCTAAAATGCTTGTTTTTTTCTGTGTTGAATGAACTAACCCAAGATCTTTATTTATAGTAGAGAGAAGAATCTCAAAATAAAATCAATTTGATTTTCAAATTCAAATTAGATTTTATTTTGATATTATCTCGATTATATTTGATAGATTTTCTACAGATTTGAATCCGATTTGAATTTCAAAATCAATTAAGAATATCCGCTCAATATTCTGCAGATTTTTATTAAAGTTTCTAGAGCTTTCCACGGACCGAATTTTTTACGGACTAGACCCGTTTTGATTCTATCAGATAAATCGAAATCCAACATATATGTTGTCGGGTCGATTATTTATCGTTTCATCCAAACAATGCAAAGGAGATAGATGTCAATGTGAATTAGTAAAAGATCAAAACACTCACATATACTGATATCAATATGTAAAGTTCATATATACTATTTTTTGTAACTATATTCCTTTAATTACTTCCTTTTTGGCGATTTTAGTTGACAAAGAATGTGGAAACAGTAGGCGACAACAAGCAAGAGAAGAAAATAGGAATTATGGATCCAAGAGAGATAAAGATTAAAGGAAAAAAATATTTCAGATATATTGGTTCTCTCACTATCCCACCATGCACCCAAGGAGTTATTTGGACAATTAACAAAAGAGTAAAAAAATTTAACCCATATTTCTGGTTTTTTTTTCTCAATCCCTTTTTATCTATTTATTTTTTTTATTAATCATTGTTTTGAATTTACTAAATTAGGTTCAAACGGTCTCAAGACACCAACTCAAAACACTTAAAGCTGCGGTTCACGATGTAAGTAAATGAAGCCAATCACTTCTTTTACATTTTTATCGATATAATCTAATTTCCACTTTGGTGCATCTGTTTATCCATATTTCGATTTGATTATGTAAAATTGAATCCAATGAAAATGTAATTATATTCGAGTCGAATCCGACCTATTTTTTTTGGTCTAAAACCTTATTCATTTAATCTGAAAAAATAAAATAACAAAAAAATTAAAAAAATATATATTTAGAAAATGAATGTATTTCTTGATAATTCAAAGTGAATACAAATAGAAATCAAAACAAACCGAAAATAAATAAGTTTCATACAGAATAATTCCGAACATAAGATGACAATTTTCTTCCTTTTTTTTTTCTTTTATTCTTTTGATAGAGCGCAAAGGGGAATTCAAGACCACTGCAGCCACTAAACCATAGAGAAATTGATCTTTACACCCCTTAAAGGTAAATATAAATGTTATGGGAATTTGATTCCAATAAACTTATACAAAAAAATAAATCTTCGCTTAGAAGATGAATAAGTTGAATGGCTGAATCCGCTCGTAACGTTTGTTGTATCTTTTATACTCGAGGTTTGTTTATGTTAATTGTTTTTTTTTTCACTCGGTCGATGAAAGAGAAATAAAAAGGCAGGTTTTGTAGGTGATTCTGACAATGGGCTTGGGTTAGGCCCAAATTGGACTTCAAGCCCATTATCAACGAGATCACTCATCCAACCATCGGTTATGGGCATTTGAGATTTTGATTTAGTTATTTTTTGTTTGTTTTAGCTTTTCGGTTTTGTTAAAAATATATTTTCCATCGGTTTGACTTTGTTAGAATATTTTCATTAATTATATCGACCAATACTTTTAAAAAAAATAATTATGTATTATAAACGTTATTTTACAATCGACTAAATTTCGTGATCTATTATGTAATTTCAGTTTTTTAATGATGAAACTAGAAATAAGCATAAACTAATTCATATATATTAGGTAGTACTAGTAGTTCATAAATGATTTCATTTTTTAAAATATTTTTATCATGTGTCAAGCAGCGCGGAGAGAGAGAGGTCTAAAAAGACAAAACATAAACTAAAGAGAATCATAGTCACCGCACCGACCAAAATAAATACGTGAACCATATGTCCTCCTGCTCCATGACACTAGAAAGTAGAAACCCACCACGGAGGCCCATTTTTCTTTAATTTACAAAAAAAGAAATGACTTCAAAAAACGTAAGAGAATCATAAAAGTTTAGAAGGCAGATATACAAGAAAAAACAAATTTGTATTATTTGTGAGAAGAGAAACAAATTTTAAAAAAATATATACAATATTTTCTGTCTAACCATATGGTTAGGAAACCTAATTATCAGATTAATAACTTTAAAGAAAATGACGTGAACGAAATACAATTGATAACATAAGAAGAAAACTAGTCGAATAATAGTTGGACATCTTCGAATCGGAATTTTGTTAGAAAAAAGAAGAATAATTTTATAATTTTAATATACAATTGATATTTTTCTATAATTTTAAAGAAAGATAATATAATTTTGAAATTTCTAAGAAAGATTGGAATAAGTAATTAAGTTATTTTAAATAAATATAAAAATATTTTATAACTATTTCGAATATCCCACTATAAAATTGCGAAAATTGAATCTGAATACAATTTTTTATATGAGTTTATAAATTTTATTTCCGAGTCAAATATTTAAAGTCGGATAACTTTACTCTATCTTACCTAAATATACAAAACCTAATTTCCGAAAAATGTTTATAAGTAATTATTTTTTTATAATTCAAGAGTTCACGAGTATTCGACCTATATTTATCAAAAATTCAAAAAAGTCAGATAAATATTCATCCCTAAATAAAGACTTAAATCTGGGTTAGAAATGAACAAATGACAGAAGGTTTTAATTAATATTTTTGGAAACATAATGATATTTAGTCAAAATATTGAACAGTTTTAAAATAGTTGAAAATCTAAATTTTTTCACCTTTGATTTGATTAGGATTCAATTCTCTGCTCCTAACAATTTCAGACATTTTTGTATATATCTATCTACCCATTCCGGCCATTGTATATACAATCGAAATAAATGTATGAAAAAAAAATATCATACAATTTGGCAAGCAAAGAGACAAAAATTGTGGAAAGGCAAAATCATGAAGAAGATGTGGAGGTGGGTCACTCAACAATGAATGATACTATTACTCATATGAGCTCTTTTACTTTAGCAGATATTCATTATACGGTCCATTTTTCATCATTTATTTTTTTTATATTTTTACCATTTGGATTTGTTCTTCGTGAGAATCTGTTTAAGAAACCCTTTTATTCTTATTAAAAAAACTTAAATAAATTTTAAAAAAGTTCATAATGTTTTTGAAATTCAATTAAAATCAACGTCGATGCGAAAAAAGGATTAAAATCAACCGTGAAAGTTAACTTACCATTCCCATATGATTTCGCTAATTACTATATGATTTAATCAGATGATTTTATACAAATATGGAATGTAAGTTAACAAAAAAAAATATATGGAATGTAATTTATAAGCTAGGTTAAGACAAAGTTTGGTATTTTTATTTATTCATTGCAATTTTTCAACGACAAACGACGTGATTGGTGACCATGATTGATAAGGGGGTGAATCTATTTTATTTGAGGGGACACCAAAAGAAAACAAAGGAAAAGGCATGGGGTAACGAGAAAGGCCACAGTATATAAAAATAATGTGCAATGCATAATTGTACAAATGGTCCAAAATATTCCACATGCCAATTTCATTATCTGTTTTTTTTTTTAAATGTCTATGTTGCATAAAATTAACGTACTGTGTAACGTTGTACCTAACATTCTGTTCCTATAACCAGAGACACCCAAAAACGTTTTAGAATACGTATTCTTTTATTTTCCCCTTCAATGCGCTCGGTAGTTCAAATTCAAATAATGGAAAAAGGAAACTTTTTTAAAAACAAACTATTTTTTAAAATTGAATCTGGATATAAAAAAGCAAAATGATATAACTTTATTAAAAAAAATTTACAAATAATTTAATCCTAAAATAAGAGAACTGCTTAAAGTGTCGTTATGCATTTTTATTTATTTTCATGGATATTTGATAACACAAATCTAGATGTAGAAATAATATTTAAGTAATAAAAATTTAGATATAGCGAATACCGCAAGAATACAGATCAACTGTAGCACCAAGGTTGAACACAAAGAATAGTTAACTGTAGAATTAAGATTCGACCAAGAATTAGATCAAAAAATATGAAATAAAGTAAATGAATATTATAAACAAAAACAATAGATAAACTAAGTAAATCAGACAGATAAACCACCGTAGCTTCGGGATCACCTTAACGCGTAGGGATTGTTTCAAAGGATGGAGAATCAACGAATATCGAACTCTAATTGGGGATCTCAAATTCTAATCTCAAATTTGGCTCTTTCAAATTCTAAATCCACTATCCAATAATTTAACCTACCGATCTTTCAACCTAATAGATTAAAATATCAAATGTATTAATGATCACTATCACAGTTCCTAAACCGATTAACCTATCTTTCAATAGTCTTAATCAATTTATTAAATGAATTCGTTCCGAATCTAATCTCTGAATTTCATTGCAAATCAGAATCTAAAATCAATCAATCAACATACCAAGAAGTTCAAAAACAATAAACTCAATCCAATTAAACCGACGAGTATCAATAACGTAGTTTCGGAAAATAAAAATCAAACAAATCCCTACAAGGTTAAATCCCTAACTACAGTGAAACGATTATTCACTATCCATAACAACAAACGAGTTCAAATCAATAGGAAGAAACATAGAAACATATAGAAGAAACTCTCGACGACGGTTCTTCAATCTCTGCTCCGAAAAAATTTCGTCTTGATTCTCTCTCGAGTTCTCTAACTTCTCTTGTGATCTCTCGATGATTTCTGAAGTCTAAGAAGTTTTCTCTTTATTGGCTTGGCGTCTAGACTACCTTTCCTTTCGAAAATGGAAACTTGGACATAAAATAGAAAATTTTCCCTTGAGCAACACGGTCGTGTCGAGTAACGATATGTCAATTGTCTGATCAAAATTTCTGCACTTCTGCAAAACTGAATACGAGTGAGTTGCACGCGACACGACCGTGTCAAAGGACGACACGGTCCGTGCTGATTGTCTGAGCTAATTTCTTCGTTTCTCCACTTCAGCACGACCGTGTTTGAACTTCACATGGTCTGTTCAAATGTAACTCAAGCTAGATATGTTCTCTTCATCACGCTCCGATCCAAATTGCTCTGAGCTCTTGCTTATGCTCCTCTGGCGTCCAAAATGCATCTATTACCTGCTCAATCACCAAGGAATGCAAAGGGAATAAAACATGGACCTAAAATGATCCTAATTGTCTAATAGTGCACAAAACCGCTGCGAAAGTGCTAGACAATGAGTTTCAAAATAGAGAAGAAAATCATGTTATCAATATTATAAAGTTGTGTAGTTGTAAAATAATTTATTGATGATTTTATTGAGAAGAAAAATTGGTTCCTCATACGAAGAACCAAACTAATATGGTTTATCATTCTATAACAATACATCTGCTATATATTCAAATATAACATTCTAATTAATTGATCTTTCAGAGAAAATATGGTATTATTGATACCAACAGTTGGTGGCCCAGTGGTTAAGAGGTGACAAAGTCATGCTCGAGGTCATGAATTCGATTCCACTGGTAGGGAGAGATGTAATTTTTGGATCAAAATGGTCTATATACAAAGGCTGGTGCCGGACCTAGGGTGGATGTAGTCGGGACGAAGGCCCGGAAACCATCCTGTTTATCAAAAAAAAATATATGGTATTATTGATACAAACATTAATGTTAAATCTTTGAAATTTATAAAATACATTTATTATAAAATCCAAAAAACCCTAAACTTTTAGTCCATGCTATTTCAATAACAAACATGTCCTATAAGGATTGATTTTTTTTTAAGAAAATTTAATTAGGACTTATTTGATCAATTTAAATTTTCTAAAAAATTCTATTTAATTTACAAAGATTTTTTTATCACTAAATGAAAATTAAAAAATACGTTAAAAATTTTGAAAAATAAGAGATTAAATGTCAATTTTTTAAAAACTTTTCATTTTTTTCTCCTCTTTTTTTCTACGTCGTACTCTTTTATTTTTTTCTCTCTATCTCACATGTTCTCTCTCCTTCTCTCTCACTCTCTCTCCTCTCTTACTCACTTTTTTATTCTTATTTATTTATTTTCTTCTCTCTAATATTATCACCAATCAATCTCATCATCACCGCATTTCACCATCAATATTTTTCTTTTATTATTATTTTTTTCTTTATTTTTATCATCTTTATTATTATTTTTCTTTTTTTTTGTTTTGTCGTAGTAATTTTCATCATGTCGTCACCGATATTTTTTTCGCTAATACAGATTGTATATTTTCGATCTCGTGATCCCAAATTTGAAATTTATTTCACGAAAACGGTGTATCTAGAAATTATTGACTATTACTTAATAGAAAAATATAGGTGGAGAAGATCTCAAACTTGTTTGACTCGGGATCAAGGGTTAGAATAGACTTTCTAGATCCACCATTTAAGACCGAGATAAGGGTATTTGACAAAATTTCTCTTTTTTCTATTCACTTAAACATAAAAGATAGGGAACATAGATATCACACGGTTAAGACTTTAGGATAGAAGCCTTAAAAAAAATTTGTCAGTTAATGTTGTTGTGATGATTGATGAGTTTCTATTAATTGATTATTGACTTGTAACGTTCATGTTATGCGATTGATTGATTGTT